CAACAACTAGTACTATATGAAAACGAAATTTTATGTCTATTTTTTTACCTAATCTTCAACAAAGAATTTATTGATTTAACAATTTCAAAATTTAATAAATTAAAATTAATTAATTTATATATTTTTATTTCACCCTCAACAACTAATATAGGGGGATAACGTAAACAATTAGGAAACATTATGGGACTTTAACCACAAGAAAATGTCTCTTATACTTTTAACAAAGTCAGTGGTGTATACTATACATTTTGTTCCCTCTTTTTTAATTTTTATTTGAATTTTTTTGTTTTTCTTAATTGATGAAATTCAACCGATTAAAGCAAAAAAATTACCTTTTATACCGAAAATTTCTAAATATTTCTCATTTTAATCATTTCGACTTTTTTTTTTACCTTTTTAATTTATGCTTTTCCAATTTCCACAAAGAATAGTTAGCTCTTCATAATTATTAAAAATGCTTAGCCAAGTTAAAAACCTTTTTATAATTGTTATTATTGATGCTTTGCCTCACGTGTTATCTACGAATTGTGGGGTGACAAGTGGTTATTGAAAAGAAATTGAACCCTTCACGGCACGTGCTCATGGAGCTAATCACGGGGAAGAGTGGAGCATAATCCATTATGATTTTAATTATCATTAGACATACTGTTAACCGATTTACCAAGCAATATATGGTGAAATTGACTAATTAGTAGGGGTTTTACCTCTTTGATTTCAAAGGTTGGATTCCTGCCAATTGGCGTTGTGGTTTTTAGAGGTGCAATTTGAAAATTTGATCTTTACTTGGCCTTACTAATAATAAAGACTTAATCAACGTACAATGTTGGATGGATTTACCTTAAAAATAAAGGTATCTCGATATGATTCTTGTAATATCTTTCTTCTTATCATATTAAAAAAACATGTATTAGTAACTCACTAAAAAATAACAAGGTTTCATCATGAGGATGAAAATAATTATTGTTTAACATATAATAATCAACTAATCATGTCTATTTCCATTTTGAACTTATCTAATCTTTTCCCACCATTTTGTGTAAATTAAATATGTAGTCTAATACGAGATATTATAAACTATGCAAAGTATAAGGTTGTTATTTGTTGATGATGAGTTACCACTCCATGCAATAAGAATAATCTAGATATAGAAACAATTGATTAAAGATATAAATAGAGTGTGCATACGCCGCGCTATGAGTTTTTGATCTTCTTTCCAATCCTTTTAACAAGTACTTATACTTGAAGAATATGTTTTAACGTAATATATATAAGAGTGTATTTGCCTTGACACCTAACTTTCACTAATTTAAACTTTGAACATATCTTTACTTAACTTAAAATTGGTCTTATTAGTCATAAATGTAACTTATATAGTTGTAAGAATTATGAAAAAAAAAATCTAAACTTATATCATAGAACTCAAGGCAATTGTGAATATTTGAGCTTCTTGGATAGCCTTAATAAGCTTTAACATAGTTTATCTATATATTATTGAACCTTTAGGTATAATACGTGGATAGATTTGGATCAAAGTGAAGAATATACCATATACAAACCAACTTTAATCCAACAAAAAATTCCATTCTCCCACGATATGGACCAACTAACCCCATTTGTTAATTACGTATCTTCTTAAAACCATAACATAATTAAGTGAATTGGATATTTGGATTACAAAGACACTTACCACCTCCACCTATAACATCTTTTATTTTGTGTTTAGGTACATTTTCACAACGCACTAACTAAATTTAATTACTTTCTTTTTATAGAAATGCAACCCACGGACCAATTATATAATATCAATCTTATGATATAGTCTTAATTAATCAAATTTAAGCTTAATGCAAATTGACCACTAGCTAGGTTGCCAAGTTAAAGTTTGCTATGTAATCACATTATTCACATTTTACGACTAAAATAACCTATAATTATCATATAAGTTAAACTATATGATTTAATTTCTACATGAAGTCATTAACCATTTAATCATCATAAAATATAGTGTACAATTAAATTAATTTATGTGCACCTAACTACATTGAATTAAAAATTAAGAATAAAGTAATTTGATGATAAGAACTTTTAATAAATAAAGAAATTCCTAAGTTCATGGAAAAGGGGCAAAAAGATTATTAAATGGTTGTGGGGGTACGGTGCCCTACGACGTAGAAAAATGGATTTGTTCCTTGCTTAGGGTTTAAATTATACCACCTACACGCCAGCATATCTTATAATTAATTTATAATAAGATTAATTTCACCTAAACATATATGATAAATCTAGAGAGATTGTGATTATTGTGTATATAAACCCTAATTAATTGAGTAGTGGGCTGGTGAAGAGGATCTTCATGATACTATAAATTAGTATGCATAATATGAATATCCTTGGCATATTGGTATGTCACGTATATCCTAATTCCTAATTGAATAATTGGTGGAGCAAATCTTGTTTTGTAGTGTGTATTAGAAAAGCTAACCATATATTAGTTCGCAATGCACGCAATGTGTATTGTCTTAATCTTGTGAGGTTGCCCCATATGTTTTGATGAATACTTTGTCCTTAATATAATCTCGCTCCGCCTTTTCCTTAAAAAAAAAAAAAAAAAAAATCTTATTGTGTCTTTATCCTTTTATATTTGTATACGTACATAGTTCAATTAGAAATCCTTTTTATACATAAATGATCAATTAAAGTAAGAATGATTTATTAGAGAAAAAAGTAACACCACCACGTAGTCCATATTCAATTAAATATCGTATGCACTACATAACTATTATGATACCAACGGTAGTATAAAGTATAAACGAATTGAACTTTAAATTTGATTGTTCAAAACAATGATACGTAATTTTTGAAAAGATAAGACTATTAAATGACGAGATCATTTTTATGTTATTTTTGTCTACATGTTAAATGTTTGATTTAACGAAGATGTTTGAGATATGAGGCAAGCATATGCCTCTAGGCCCTAAGAAGTATATTCAACCCAACATTATCAATGGTGACCACGATTTGATGTGATCCTTAAGGATAACTAGTGATGACTTTTGGTGGGTTTTCTTTTGGTTCTTTGTGTTTAACCTACTAATATAATAAAGAATTAGTTAATGGATCCATAACAAATAAATGTCCAAATCAAATTTGCATTTGATGTCTATTAATGTGACGATGTTTAATGATGATATGAAATCATCGGATGGCCAATAGAGGCAATTGGACAAAATAAATCACAATCATGCCTATGAGTTAAATATTTTGGCTATGTAATTTCTTTTTTTAAAATAAAATTTTACTTAAATTTATCACTTTTAGCTACTTATATATTTAACAGCTCTTATCTAAATTTATCACTTTTGACTACTTATATATTTAATAGCTCTTGTCTAAATTTATCCTTTCAAAATGCCAGCAGAAGAGAGAAAGAAAAGAAAGGAAAAACTTACGAGTAATTAGAATTTCGAAATTTGAAATGACATATTCAGTATTCACATTGAATTGCAATTAATTTACTCTGAGCTTAACATTAAAGTTTTTTATTTATTTTTTTGATGGGAAAAAAGATTGAAGATTGGTTTAGTGAATTTGTGCCAAATGCAAATCCAATCTCTTGGGTTAGCCAAACAAGCCATTTGGCCCAATTTCAAATTTTCAAATGAACTCATTTCAAACAAGCCATATAGCCCAATCTCATTTCAAATAAGCCCTACAGCCCAACTTGGTATTAAAATGTGCCAAGTTGCCAACCCAACTCAAATTGTTATACCGCATATACGGAGTAGTATGTGCATGCCAACTCAAATGTCCATTCCCATATTTTACATCTTCCCATCCTAACTATCCGTGTTTAAATAAATGAAACGTTTCCCTTATAAACGTATGATAAGTAAAACTTTAACTGAAAATATCTTTAATTATCAATAAGTAAAAATTATAACAATTGAATATTAATAAACTATTCATTGAGGTGATTCCAACAAGTACCCACATGACTATATTTATTTTTATGTATAAATCACAAATATTAGTTGAATTAGATGAATAGTGTAAAAAGTCAAAACATTTAAGTTATTTAAATAAGAAGGGAGTATTACAGAGTAGACGGAGTAATTGCACTGATTTGCATAGAGCGTGGGAGTACCTTTATACATCTAGAGAGCATGTTAGAAAAAAGCATTTATAAATAGACAAAATTACAACCATTAACGGGAATTATGACTTAACTACAATCATTGTCATGAACTTGTCCTTATAATTCAATGAACATTAACTTGGTCGTTGAAAAAATTGCAAGTACTTGCTAACTTAAACAATATATTAAAAACACTCAATAACGAGTATAATGTGAGAGTGAGGGATAGCTTTTGTGGTTAGAGTTTTCTTCTCGATTCTAGAAATTCTTGGATTGATTCTCATCATCCGCCCAAGTGGCTCTCTAAACACCAAAAAAAAAAAAAAAAAAAAAAAGAAGAGTATAATGTCATTGAAAAAATGAAAATCATTATGGTAATTTTTTTAGCTTTAATTGTTAAGTTTATGTCATTGAATGTCTTCAGTATACAGGTTTATGTCAATAAACTCAATATAATTATTTCGTCAAAAAAAATATATATATGAAGTATATTATTATGCAAATAAGGTCGTATCGGGTTTTCTAATTGAGTCGTTGCTTAAATCAATTTATATAATTGTTCCTATTCTATTATCAAGGTATTAGTAATTTTTTTTGATATATTTAGGACAATTTAATATCCACTTTAGTGCTATACTATTTCAATTAATAATTCTCATCCTTAATATGCAAGGAATCAAAGCTTAGTCACTAGAGGCACTTTGGGATGGGGATTCTCCTACCCTTCCCCCCATTCTCAAAGTACCTAGCCCACTAATTTGGACAAGTGAAAGGTTCTGATCTGATAAAAGTATAAAACCCTTCTCCTTACCAATAAAAAAAAAAAAAAAAACTTGCAAGTAAGGCAACCCTTTCATGACCACCGTCAGATCCACGCTAACCTCATCACAAGGTCATAGCATATCCGTAGAGTCACCCGCACCAGAACATAACTCTAAAACCCCTCTTTTTTCTTTTTCTTTTTTTTTTTCTCTCTCTCCAAAATTCAGCACAACTTCAAATCTCCCTCTACTTCACTTCTGAACTAGGGTTTTAATGGCTACTTCACATCTCGATGATGTAATTTCTTTCCACTTTTTTCAATTCATTTTTTTTGACATTTATCCTGTTAATTACTTTATCTTTGATTGAATTGCTTTAATTTGATTTTTATGAATTTAATTTTGGTAGGATGATGATTTCGGGGGAGATTTTGCCGGTAATCAACGCCCAGGTAATTGATTTTATTTTCAATTCTGCACTTTTCAATTGGGATTAATGGGTGGAATTAATTCATATTTTTTTAATTGATTTACTTTGCAGATATTAAGTTATTGATATCAGTAGTGTTGATTGTTTTTCTTGAATTTTAGGGGGTAAGCGGGGTTTCGGGGAGCTTGATGATGATGAAGATGATATCTTCGGGTCGAAAAAGGTATTTCTACTTGTCTATGATATTAAACTTTATTGATTTCTTTTGGGGTTTTATTGGATTGAGCACAATTTGATGATTAGGGTGATTAAATTTATGTACATTGCAACCTTAATGCTGCCTAAATTTGTTGTAAGGTAATGTTTATATGTAATGTACTTTTATGAGAGTAATGAGATGAAATGGGATATGGAAAGTAGCTGTGGAATTTAATGGTAAAGGTCTTGGTCGATGGGTTGGCGATGTGGCATCCTGTATGTTTTGCATAGAAGTATTTGTTTGGGGTGGGAATGGGGGTGGAGGGGGAGAATGCAAGTGGGAGCACATTCTATCGAACAATGTTGCCAATGTTTTCCCTATTTATCTCGACCTTAAAGGTTCATTTTGATTATTTGGTTCCTGTTTGTTTTGTTTACATCACTTTCTTTGTTGATGACTTAGGCGAACAATAAACTGGAAGAGACGGCTCCTGGTGTAGCAACAGGAATGATACTGTCCCTTCGCGAGAGGTATTTTTGCCGTATAAGCTGTAACTGTTGTTCATCCGTATAATTCAATTTTGACAAAGTCTTAGTTGATTTGAATACTATTATTTTTACTCAGTATTCTTTCTTGTTCCCAGTCTTCAGAAGTGTAAGGACGATCTCGCGAAATATGAAGTATGCATTCTTTTTACTTTTCTTCATCTCCCTTTTCTTTCTAAACTATATTTTGTTTTGAATGTTGACACTTGACAGTTACCTATACTCCTATGTGCTATTTGGCATTCTGTATGAGAGATGAGGGGGTAGGCAGCTGCTAGGTGTTCTAATTTTTCTTAAAGTGATGTGAATTGTGAACCATGTGGTATGGGGGAAGCTTTTTGAGGTGCATTAAGAGGATTGGGTTGGTTCTTCAAATCTAAAGGATTGGTGGCACTCTTTTCATACCTTTATTACAAGTTCCAATAAGGATCACTGATCAAGGGTATTTGTGAATTTTTTAGAGGCTGATGTTAAAATTGTGAGATTTTTTATTTATTTTTGGGTAGTTTTCAAGTGTATCATTTTCTCAGGTGTACAAGGTATAGAAGTTGTTCTTGTTTGATATGACCATGGTCATTGAATTTATTGTTAGATATGGAATCATAAATATACAAAGTAACAATGATCAATTGCATCCGTGGGCAAGAGATTTTGAGGGATCTCTGGATTCTGTAGTTCACTTAAGTGATCATTGAGATAAATTTTCACTAATATGTAAAGATCTGGTTAAATTAATTATGTATAATGATAATGCTAGTGATTTACTTAGTACAATATATTGAAGATGAGAATTATATACTTTAATTTGTGGCTTTGAACAGAATTGGATTTTGTCAAAGTGCATTAGCAAAGCCCGAGTTTTTTTTCCCATAAGTGATCTCTAGAAATAGAATATTTGACCTATTGACCTGTTTAGTGGAATGCTTGTCTAGTAGTATGTTATTGCATCTTTCTTCCCGTCATCAATCTGCAAAGGATGACCTAAAAAAGAACTTTGAATCAGTAACTAAATTCAATTATTGTCTGCTTAAGTTTTGCTAGTTGACTATCGACAGTTGGTTAAGGAGTAATTAGTTTTGGCTGCTTTGTCTTAGATCGAGCTGGAATCTGCAAAGTCTGAAATTCAGAAATGGCATTCTTCATTTCAGGATGAGTCTTTTATATCCCCAGCTACTACTCCAGGTCAGTCTTATAATTTTTAGCTTATATTTTGTATTTCTAATGTTTTGTATTTCTTTCCATTTAACTGTCTTGGAGCTTTTACTTCTGGTTGATATGAAAATCTTCGTTATTGTTCCTGCAGAACCTAAATTGGTGGTTAACTATATCCGAACCTTAAGGTCATCAGACAAGTCACTGAAAGAGCAGGTTTGTGTTTTTCCCTTTCCTATCTTTATTTACTGTATATTATTAGTTTTGGATGGTGAATAATTTGTTATTTCTTCTTACCAGCTAGAAAAAGCAAAGAAGAAAGAAGCTGCCTTTATTGTGACATTTGCCAAACGAGAGCAAGAAGTGGCAGAATTAAAGGTCAGTTTATATTCCCATTTGTTTCACCTCGAGAATCCTGAGCGTAGTTACTCCGTTAGGTTAGAAAGGCAATCACCCTCTTTATTTGCTTTCATATTGATGATTGTAAATGTCTATAAAGATTTTTACTTGCTTTCACTTCTATGGAGCTAAGAAGTTGATCATTACCCCTCTCCCATGCTCTATAATCTTGGATGGGGGCACAATCGCGGAACCACTTTTGCAGTCAATGCGGATGATTGACTGCTATTGCAGCTTGATATGTCAGTTGGTTATCTCATAAACACTTACCATGCTGTGAGGTTTTTCAAATTCCTTTACAATGGTGATATGGGCATGCTGCCGATTGTAAAATTGGAACACAATCAATATATAGACCCTAGCTTGACTGTTCGTAATAGTATTGTCTCTAAAAATCTAATATGCACAATATATATATTGACCTACCTTGACTGTTTATGATAGTAATCTCTTTGAAAATCTAATATTTAAATCCTACTTGAGATTGTCCTACATGTTCAACAAATGTGAAACTTGAAAGTTGAATAAGCCTCTAATAAGCAATTCTTCCAGCTCTGGATTCTAAGGAATTTGGCCAATTCTCTTAGTAAATTATCTTTCACATTCTTTTTTGCTGTAAGCCTGTATGTAGCAGTGTAGACTAATCAATGTTGAGTAGGACTATAGGATTGCCTGCTTTGAACTTTCATCGGGTAAGGGTGTTAGGTGGATCTGAATGTGCTTCATTGGAGCAATGTTGCCAAGGTAGTATGTTGGTATTAAAAAGAAGAAAGAAAAATCACTTTTGGTGGGGATGATTTGGTATGCAAAAGTAGACCTTCAATGGATTATGTCAGAGGATGAGAAATAGGTGTATGAGGTTTATAAAGATAATCCATTTTACATTTCTTGTCAAATATTTGTTGTTGATGGATACATAATTATATCTGATTGAGAGAAAAGCAACTTATAATTCTATAAATTCTCTCCTGGAAATGATGTGTGGCTGTCTATGTTGGTCCCTCTTTCTTGACATCATTCATGGGGATTGGATGATTAATGGTTTTCTTTTTATTTTTTGTTTGTGTGTGTGTGTATTGTTTTATTGGTTAACAGTAATCTGGAGTATTTATCTTCATGCTTATCAGCTGGTGATTATAATTCGTGCTATTATCTAATTTCAGGCTGCAATTCGAGAATTAAGAGCACAACTAAAGCCCCCATCTTTGCAGGTATCTATGAGTTTGGCTTATCACCTCTCTCTCTCTCTCTCTCTCTCTCTCTCTCTCGCTCTCTCTCTCTCTCTCTATCTGTGAATGTAGGAGAATAATTATTGGTAGGAAAAATTGGAGGCTGTATGCTGAGTTGATATTTACTAAGAGTTCATGGGCTGGTAAAAGAATTAGGTTGGTCATTTTTTTTGGGAAGGCTACTTTTTGAGATGTGTTTGATTTTATAATCTATATTTGAAGAAGATAGGGAGACAGTGGCTACTTGCTTAAGCCTTTTATTGTATAGTCAGAATAATATTGTTGATTCTATGGTATGGATGTATGGTGGTGTGTATATTCTGCTTAGTCTCCTTAAGGACCCGATAGTTCTCACTCCCCTTCTTGGACCCGTTGAAAGTTAAACGCTCTTTGCTTAGCATGTTTATTTTGGCCTGGAAAGCTATAAATCTATGATCAGTACAAAGAAAAAATAATTAGAATGGAGAAGTTTTAGCCTTGCCAGCACATGTAGTCTCTGCTCATACATCTGTTACTTTTCTCTCCTTTGCTTCTTCCTTATGGCACTTGAGAAGTTGAGAGTGAGTGTATATTTGTTTGGAATCAGTTGGTTCAGCCTAGTAAAGTGAAGATGTGTTAGTGTTTGGCTGTGGAGTTAAAAGGAAACATAGAATGCAATAATATGAATGATCCTTTGGCTATTTTAGGTGTTCTTTGTAAGGAAAGGAAGAAGAAATTGATGGATTTTAGGTCAAAGCCATAATGTCAGGCGCTTTGTGTTCTATTTTTTGAGGTTCTTGAATTATGGAGTCAATCACATCAACATGAGACTAGTTATCGCTCCTTAATTTTCGGACGAGATCAGACATGATTTTATGGATGGAGGACTTGAATTTTTTTGTTTTCATTTTGTTTTTGTGGTTTTGGGAAATCAAGTGTTAGGGACCTTTTTTTATTTTTATTTTTATTTTTTAAATAAATATAAAACATACCTTATTTTTTTTTATAGGGTTGACGGTTATTGGCGTCACTAATAAGGAGGGGGGGGGGACACTGTAGGAAGTTGAAGTAATATTAGAATATTGGGCTACATGTTCTCATGTCATGTGCTGCGTTGTGTATTTTTAATGCTTGTTGAGTTGCTTTTGAGATTTTTTTTCATACCCCTTCTATCTCTCCCCCTTTAACTCTTTATGGATAAATTCTCAGATTTGAGAGGTGCTATCTCTCAAACATTTCTCAGTTGGAACATATTCTTGTTCATCATATGTTATACGTGGACATGTGGTACACCATATTTGGTTGGGCCAAAGATTTATTTGTTGAGGTTTTCTAATGTTGTTTTTATTGTTTCTCAAAGTGTGATGTATATCTTGGGCGAAGGTGGACTATTTTGCTGAAGAGACATCCTAGGGACTGTTTGCCAAACTTCATAGTCTTCAGTAGCTTCATTAGTTATGTTTCATGAATCATTGTGTATTTGTGTTTAACTATGCAGTATGGATTTCAATATGTTTGATTTTTTGGGTGAAACTGTTTTCCTAAAAACCACTCTACTTTTGACTATGATATTGTTACCACTGGCATAACTTCTGGCTGTGATTGCTTGGCAGACGAGGAGGTTATTGTTGGATCCTGCAATACACGAAGAGTTTACACGTCTGAAGGTTTGTCCTTGTCACCCTTCTATACTTAAATGAAAGCTTGCTGCTCGTGTACAACTTTTCTGGTTAATTTGCGTAACCTCCTTGATAATGCATTATTTGACGCCATGATCATGTTGAATTCATTCTTGCATTTTGTGATAGGCTTCATAATGCTTAAGCAATATGAATAAAAAGAGTTATTAATGAAATTGCATCCCTGCTTGTACATTGTATTCTGATTTCTTTGGATATCTTCTCCCTCTTATCATTTTTTTGCTTATTAAAAGATGGATACTTTTTTCGTACCAATTCTCTTAGTTATTGTTTCCACTTTAAAATATTGAAGATGCTAAGATTTCTGCAAAAACACATTGGTCTGCTATTACTTGCTTTCATTAATTATGTATTTATTGTTATCCAAGAGTTTGAACTTCGAAGTATGTTCATTCCATATCCAGGACTTATTTTGTAAGTAGCTAGTGTATGATGATGTTTTTTTTTTTTTTTTTTTTTGGTTTATCTGAGATTGTTTTGTTATGATATCAGAACCTTGTTGAAGAAAAGGAGAAAAAAGTGAAGGAGTTGCAGGACAATATTAATGCTATTAATTTTACACCAAATAGCAAGATGGGGAAGATGTTGATGGCGAAGTGCAAGACTTTGCAGGAGGAAAATGAAGAGATAGGCAATCAAGCTTCTGAGGGGAAGGTATGCTATTATCCTTAGCTTTATTTTTTTAATAAATTTCCCCTTAAGATCTATGTCTGGAAGGGAAGAGGATAAGTGAATCGACCTAAGTGAATTGGCATATTACATGAAAAGCTCTTTTGCCCCTTCTTTTATATGCTATGTGAACAGGATTAGCATTCATGCTTGTAAATAATCTTGCTTTCTGGGGCATGTAGGTTACAGGCTGAACTTTATTTATAGCGGACCTGCCCTATAAAGATATTTATTAAAACTATAATTGACATCTTTGTAAGCCTATATGTCAAGATGAAATTGGTATGGGTCTTCACTGTACTTGTTGGTTAGATTGCTGTTACCCCTAGAGAAATGAAGTTCTTCGAAAGAGGATCTTAGTTCCATGAAAGAAGCCATTTACGGCCATTGGCTTCAGTTATGATGTCGTGAGTCCCAATTTTTTTCAGTCAAAGATGTTCTTGTGGATGGGAAAGAAGGATATAACATTGGGATCTTTTGAGTGAGGAAGATGATTTTGTGACAATCTGGTTAGTTTACTTGGTAAGGAGGAAATTGGTGCTTTTTGTATGATGAAGGTTGCCCATTTCATAGATTCGAGTTTCTTTACTTAAGGCTATTGAATAGCTGGAGTCAAGTGTAACATTCCAACTGGCACATGAAAATTTGTTGAGTTGGTTGATAACATGTTATATGATAACTTGGGGACAAGATATATATGATTCTTGTCTTCCTTTTGTACGTGGATAAAACCCTTTTGGTATCTTGCTAACTTATGTTTTAACTCCACAGATGCATGAGTTGTCTATGAAACTTGCTTTGCAGAAGTCTCGGAATGCAGAGCTTAGAAATCAATTTGAAGGTCAGTGATTTGGCTGGATCTCCAGCATCTCTATGCATTCAGAATGATAACCATTTTTTCTTGGTGGATTTAGTTCTGTGAATTATAAATCTTTTTATTTAGATAGGCTCAGTTTTACTATTTTTGTGTGATTTGCCTCCTGTTATTGTTTGGTTGTGACACATTTTAGTTTCTTTGGGTTTATACAACAACAAAGCCTTAGTCCTAAAATGATTTGGGTCGCCTAACATGAATAGTCATAAGGAACCTACGATATAAAGAAAGGGTCCTAACAAGATAATCATTTGAAAGAGTTTGAAAAAAGGTGAGCAGAGTGAGCAAACAACAGAGCATCCTAGAAAAATTAAGGGAGTTTTAAAAGAGAGCCATAAATAAAATTTAAGAAAGTTTTAAAGGTTTGAGTAAGAAACAGAAAGGTTTGTGAAAACTTTAACAAAGGAAAACAATATAGTTCATAAAACATTAGTGGGGTAAAATAATAAAATTAAATACAAAAATAAATTTAGAAAGTATATATATAATCACGACGCGTCGTTGACGTGAATTTTCTCCCTCCACACCGCCCTATCCAACACCATATTTTCCTCAATCCCCAAAGCACTCATGTCATTCTCAATCACCCTCTTCCAAGTTTTCTTAGGTCTTCCCCTACCTCTCGCGATCCCAACACTTTACAATTCTTCAAGCCTTCTTACCGGAGCGTCACTTGGTCTCCTTCTTACATGGCCTAACCATCTTAAGCGATTCTCCCTCATCTTGTACTCAATCGATGTCACCCCTACTTTGTTCCTAATTATCTCATTCCTCAACTGGTATATCTAAAAAATATTCTATCCTAAAGGTTTTTTTTTTTTTTTCCTCCAGTTTGCATCTAAATTACATAAAGGGCTGAAGTATAACTTTGATTTTTTCTCTGCTCATGATTCTGCTGTTGTCAGTAACCTTGTAAGTTGATTTGGAGGAAATTTGTGCATGTGTACTTCATGCTCAACTTTGCATGTCATCTCATGTCCTTGACAATGTTAGGAAAACTTGAGAAAGGAACTTGTTCTGTTTATGAATTTTGTGCCTTTTCTCCTGCTACATGTGTGTACTCACGAGATCTCAGTATGACTGATTTGATCTATATGCGGATGATCTAGAGTGCTCAAGGCCAGGCCATACGTCTTATCTGTGATAAGGGTGGAGGTGCCTGACATATCTTATGCTGATGTGGATATGAAAGATCAACTTGACGAGTTAACTGCACTAGTTTCTGGAGTTAATTGCCCCCCCCCCCCCCCAACACACACAAAAAAAAAAAGGGGGGGGGGGAATGTTAGCATCTTTGGGTTATGACTTCATTTCTTCAGATTGATAGGATGACAAATCTTTTTTTTGTTCAACTACACGATTAATGTGTTGTTATATACTTATATGCTGCCAGTTTTCTGATGAAATGCTTCTGTTGCATTTGGCAGGACTTTGTAAAAGCGTAGAGGTGCTGACAACTGATGTTGAGAGATCAAATGAGATGGTAAATTATCTATTTATTTACAATTTGGTGGTTCTAAAGCTTCTGATATACTTGATGCCTGTCGATCAGAATATTGATTTTATCCTTTGTTTTTCGTGCAAACTATGAGTCTTACCTTTGTTGAACTGTAATATGATAGTGAGGCAAGAATGCTATCATTGTACTGCAGATCACAAATTAAACCATTTAATTGGCTATTAAAGGAGTTATCTTTGTTACCTGTTGCAAACTTATAGATGCTTTTCATCTCCTCTTCTTGAATTTTTAGTTCAAGCTTATCTTGTCATATTTGACTCCCTCCGTCCTTTTTTTTTTTTGCCTCATGGTTAATATTTGGGTCAAATTAAAAACTTTGAGATAATATAGTCATGTGGGATCTTTTTAGATTCGTCTCATTGTATGTTATATTAATATATGTTTTTTTTTTTTTTTTTTTTAAATAATTTTTACATGTATAGAGATGGAGATATATGCGTTTTAGATGCATCTACGAGACCGTAAAATTATAGGGATGGAGGGAGAACACTTGGAACTTGACATCCAGAATTTTTTTAGTTCACGTTTTTGCAGACACTTCATCTTTATAAGCTCTCGTGCAATTCTCCTTGAAGTCTTACCTGTTGAATTGCAAACCATGTAGCTAATACTCTCAATTTTTAAGTTAACACTTTGTCTTCAATGAATGAAATACTCTCTTTTTTCAACTAGTTAAAAATTGAGTATTTGTGCCCTATCCCCCTTCATTATTTGATCTTGAGGAACTTTGCTTATAATATATAATTGCATGTATGGGGTAATCTGGGTTGATGGATTGTGTATTACTGTCTCCAACTTTTATAAGATCTCAAGTAAGCCATCCAACTTTGCAGGTCGTCATCTTACAAGAGAAGTTAGAAGAGCGGGATGCTGAGATCAAGAGATTGAAGCTTGAGCTGCAACAAAAAAACGGAGCTGAAGAAATGAATGATTCAGCTCCAATGGTTGCAGATGAGCCACAGTCGACTGAAGCTGAGGATGTACCACAAACTGAGCTTGATCAATGCTGAAGTCAATTTTTGAGGATTCATTTGCATTTTCTTCATCATGTGTTCCCTGTACATTATTGTTATATCTTTGGTTCCTTGTAGACTATCACTATAATTTAGCAAAGAAACATTCTCTTTGAAAGGAAAGTGAAGTCTGTTGGCTCTGCTTGTATGTTGTATATTGAGCTTGTTTCGTTATGGGAGAAGGGAATTCTTTTTCCCCATTACAGGCAATTGCGTTTCAAATTGATGGGTATGATGCTAAATTGCTGTAACAGTTGGTGAATCAATTGCTTTGCAATATGCAAAGTTGAAGTATTCTACCTAGACCTGTCAAAATTTAAACCAGACCCAAAACCTGTGGTTTGAACAAATTTTTGTGACCTATACGGCTGTACCTATATTACATTATTACCTAATAGTGTCTGAACCCAAACATGTTTATTGCCCTATGAACCTTAAAATTGCCACATTTATAGTAATTGTAGGAAATTATGAGAACTTTTGAAATGATGGTTTTTGTTGAATGTAGATGTCATTTGATTGGATTTGGCTTTAAGCAACTATATTAATTAATTCTCGTTATATCTAATGTATATTATGTGTACTGCCTAATGCGTATTCTTTAAATTTTGATGTCTACTATGTATTCTATCAAAGAAATAATCCAAATTTTTTTAAAAGAAAGCGATTAACCCATTGGGTCAGCCCAAAACCAAACACTTTGGACAACTCGCATACGAAAGTTATAACCTGACCCATTTGGCAGGACTAATTCTAGTTCATGTTAGGAGTTAATTATATTCAGCAATCTGAGCTACAAACACTCTTACCTTTAAGCAATTAGCAAATGTACAGAACATGCCTCTCCACATTCTTATCTATTACGGATTACATGAGTAATCTTAGTCAAATGTCCTACGCAGTACAGTATATAAGAGCACTGATACAAATAAAACTGCATCCAACTGTTTCCAGGTAAACTAACACTAAACTAAGGCACCCGGGCTTTGGTAGGATTCGGCAGCACAAACAGTGCTAGTCTCATGAACTAACTGCCAGAAATACATTGCCAAACTTATGCCAGAAGTCTGTCAATTTGAGTCATTGCTTGTTCACTTCATCTAGATTTCCACCCCAATCCAGCAGTACCTTTATTTCCAATGCCTCGTAAAGGTTCTTTCAGCCCATGCTGAGTTTTGCCAAGTCCTTCACCCTGTGTACAAAAGCGCAGAATTACTCTTTAAGCAATAAGGAACTACTAGCACAAATGACATCCGTAGTATGCTAGAAGAAACTGCAAAGTAGTACAAGTATTAACTATGAACGAATTCGTTTTTGTAGGACTGATCTGAGTTGGAAATAAATTAACTGAAACAAGAACCAAAATGTGTTGTCCTTATTATCCAGAACAAAGACGTACCTCTTTCCAGCCCATGTTTTTTAGGATTTTTTGGGCATAACTACCAGCTCCAAGGGACATTTCTAAGGCTTCAGCTGCAGCTTCCTCAGTTGAAGGTGGACTAGCATCCTCAGCTGACCTTTTCTGCCCAGGGGCTGCACCAAAACTGCCATGCAGTGCTCTTCTTTCAGCAGCTCTGTCCCTATATACATTGGTTTTGTGCTGGGAAAAAGAAATAATGTTCAGAAGCACAATAAGCAGTTCTTGAGAATTTGAGATCAATGCACTTTCAGAGAACGAAAATGCTCTAGACGTGAGATGTATAACTTTCAAAAAAAACAAAAGAAACGATATGTCAAAGAATTCTTGGAAAAACGATGGATAATTTGGCAAGTGGTGCAGGGATCCATTAAAATAACGCGATGAGTAAATTTGCAAGAATGATGATAAATTAGTCAAACACCTAATAAAACACTCTCTCAGCAGGGATATATACCAAAATTTTCACCAGTGATTCATCTGCATTATCTCTCATCCAACAAAGGCAAGACTAGGTCATCAGTAGTATGAACCAAATCTAGACCTAATCATCACAACAGGCAGGTTATAATTGGTAATATATCTCCAAACCGGCCTCACTACATCTTTCTTCCCTACCGCAATGATGTTTTCTTCACCTTTTCCAATTTCCCTCTCTTTTCCATAATTAGATTCCATCATCTCCTCCCCTCTAATTAGTGCCTCCTAATTCTCGCCTTTCCCTAGTCTCCCTTTATCAATCTCTGTCAATTCTCAAAGAGCACTTTAAATAGAAGTCTAGCTTCTAAGATGGTTGGCGGACTTGATTACATATCCACCCGAAGTATGCAGTGGACTTGTGATATGATATAGTCACATTTACATGCTCAATGTGATTGTCAATATTCTTCATACTCTATAATAACAGTATTGTTTTCTTAGTTAATTCAATAAATCATAAATAATACAAAACTTCAGTTGGTACTAGCCATGAACATACCTTCTCATTAACAGGGGGATTATCATGGCATGAACTTGTATACTGCTGAGAGAGAACTTTAACTGCTGTTATGGAACCACATGTTTTATTAGTCCCTTCAGTTGATAGCTCAGGAAATCCCCAGTCACTGGTTGGATTCGAAGCATCATAATTCAACAATGTGGCTAGATATCTTGCACTAGGGGTCCGCAGCTTATACACTTGCCCTGCATAACGATCTCTTTCAATAAGAAGGTTGCAGATACATGTTTGATAAGAAAGAAAGGAAGTAAAGAGAGTAAAAGGAAGTGACAGATCAAAAAAAAAAAAAAAAAGAAGGGAAAAAACTTATTTCACTTGGCAGAAAAAAAGATTCAACACAAAAGTGCTTTAGATATTGATCACAAAAAATTTGTCTGACGAAGTTGATCATTATTCATCACACTAATTTCTGATGACAAAGTTTGCAACTAGGCTATATCCAAGGACAAACTGACGGAATCAAAACCCACACAAGTTGATCAATGCCTAAAAGCCAATTTTATGACAACAGGATTGTTTTAACGAACCTTAAGGTTATGCTTATTGAACTGAATTAAGTGCTCATTAATCATGATTGGATCAAGTAAATATGATCAGTAAGGTAAATGAATTTCACCAAGCTGTAGGGAGGAACATAGAATGATAAGCTGTCCAGATTTGAGAGCAAATGTTGTTACATGGTAAATTGCTTTCAGGTTTCAGCTAGGGTAAAAATAACTAAAATAAGATCAGGAAAGCCCCAATGCTCCAGCAAGGCAGTCATGTCAAAGGGCAGGAACGTATCAGTAGGTTGGCACCAGCGATATCTTTCATCAGCAAAACTATCATGAAATCACTTTTCTTTTCTTATGAGAATATTAGGAGTGGTTGCATAACGGGAAGTAAGTGGTGAAGGAAGAGCATGATAGAATATAAAGCATATTGTCGAATTCCTAAAAAAAATGAGGTTGACAGCAAACCTGATCTAACCTGCACCATATCAAGACGGGCCTTGCATATTGGAGCTGTTTTCAAACGACGACCATGAGAAGGCATGGAAGGATGAAGCTTGGAAGAAGGCTGCACTAATCTCCCAACCAGCTTAGCCACTGGGAAGGTTCCTTCCTTTTGGATCTCTCTTACCATTGACCAATCCCACAAATCTATAATGTGAAACTCTGTCCCAAAATCATTTTGCGATTGGACAACTTGACCATACTGAGCAAGCCAGCTTTCTTCTTCCCCAGAAGCTTCTGCAGAAAATAATCAGAGGATCAGGACGACAAACAAGCCAGTTCATGGTAGACATACAGAAAAAACCTTTTCAAATCAGCCATATAAATCGATCTGCAAAAATCACACTGGATCTTCAAAAAGTTCCAATGTGATTTTATAACATCAAACTCAAATGGAAGAATAGACACGCAATAAGATAACCTGACAAAGTAAAAACTGTAAAGAACCAACATAAATCTGCAAATGTTTGTCAAGGACTGACTAGAGTATTCTGAGAAATTCGAATAAAAAAAGAAGCTTCATTTATGGAACTATCACTTGAATCAATTGTAGTGTGATGGTCCATACTCAACTCATCATCTCCATCTCCATACAATTTGTTGTTTCCTAGAATAATCAGAAGTCATCAGAGATATCAGAGATGAAATCTTGATGTCTAATACTACATATGTACTAACATATAACTGAGTAAACTGACCATCAGTTGTGGACACAGAACCATCCTTGTCATCTGTTTCCTCAGGAAACTGCTGGTAATCAGTGGGATTAGATGCTGTATTTTGATAGCCCGACAAATATAGTTCGATTAATGTATCTTCTAACCTTAATAAAATGAAAAAGGGACAACGGTTTACAATTTAGAAATAGAAGTAATGAATAAGCTGCAATGATTAGGTTTACCTCAAAGTAGCTGCCTACCATTCTGACGGTGGAGGATTTCCATGCAACTCGCTGCTAGTGCACTCGCCTACTAGAGAGATTAAAAAGATATTATCTTTCAACAAAATATGAAAAACAAAAAAGAATACTAGCGACATTCAATATTAGTCCGTTATTAGCTGCTCAAGAAATGTACTTAATGTTCTAATACAATTATCAGATGACTTGTGGTGCACCAGTGTTCACAGGAAGCCACAAGGAGGTGAAGAACTACCAATACTTTTAAAAACTTAAAAACAATAAGACTGCTGCAAAGGCGAAGGCAGAATGTAAAGTAAGCTACAACTTCATTTTGTGAAGCATTGAACTAACAGGAGCAGAATTCAATTAACATAGGGATTTAATTCAACTATACCTATTTGCTGAGGTGCATCATCATTTTCTTGGTAATTTTGATCATATTCCTGCTTACATTCGGCTTGCAGCTGAGATTCACCCTGGCCTTCAGTTTCTGATTGATAACACTACAATTTACATTGCATAACAATAAGATGTGATTCTACCATCTAATCATCTATCTCCCAAGAAAATCGAGGCGACCAAAAAAAGAAAACAAACATTATACCTTATTATAGGAATCAAAGAGTATATAATTTCCATCCTCAAATTTGTAGTAAAATCCATCTCTAGTATTGTAATACCACCCTTCATTAGGGTCATGATAAAACCCACTTCTGCAACCATAAATACTCATATAAGGCAACAACAAATGCACACAATTTGACTTATTAATATGGAAATGCAAATTGTTTAAACCCTAGATTATCCATTAATAGCTCAACCAGCCAAGATTTTTTAGTAGTATTTGTTTTGGATGCAGGAAGACGGGACAATGATGTAAACGAAATTTGATTACATTTGTTTTTTTGAAACCCACTAGCAAAGACTTTAACCAAACTAAGCTAGTTGTCATCCACAACTTAACTAACTTAATGGTACTGTATCAATTTATGGAAAAGGGGCAATAACATCATTTAATCAATCAAAAAAGTAAAAATGTCCAATTACTGAATCTTGCAATACGTTCTTCTTCATCTTTACATCACTTGGAAAATTAAGATAAATGGGTGATTGATGGTTTGAAAATTACACCTACTTAAAAATCCCACAAAAAATTTAAGAATTTGAGAAGATAGGAAGAAGAAACCTGGCATGATAGTAAAGCTGGGAATTTTGGTCCCAAACGAAAGAGTCTTCTTGATTCTGGGTATATGCTGCGCGTCTTCTTCTTGAGTACAAACCTCAATTTCTTTCATCTTTACAAGAAAAAAAACAAACAAACTATTTAAACAGCTTGGCTGAATGTGATGTTTAAATGTTCATAAGTTCTGGGCATTACCTTTTTTTCCGTTTAGGAAAGAATGAATAGATTCACCAAAATGTTAACCAGAAATTGATCCAGGTATTGACTGGATTGAAGGAAATGGAGGGAAAAGGAGGGAGGAGAAATGCAGGGATGATTTATTTTTCATTTGGATAATAAGTAAGGAAGGAAGGGAATTAGAGAGGAGAGAAATGGAAGGATTAAATTGTAAGAAATTAATCTCTTTATCAGTAGAGAGATTTTGGAAGGAAACCTAATCTTTCTCCGTTCCCCCACACCTCCCTCCCCTTCTTTTCTTTCCCATTTCTTTATCCAAACACACCGTGATTACTTATCACCTCCCTATGACTAACAAATTAAAGACGTAATTTTTAGTGTTTTGTTCACTTTATTTTTACTTGGTTAATTAGGTAAGATCATTTGTATGTAATCAGACTTCAATTCGGTTAGCTCCAATTGGACTTGTTATTGTACAAAAATGATGGCATAGCTATGACGGAGTACAAGGTGTTTATTTTTGATAAGCCAAATTTTTCTCGCACTAAATAATAGTTTGATGTATTTAGTTAGGAGCAAAGGAAGTAATTAGTATAGTTTCAAAGTACATCACATTAATAATCTGAATGTATCATATTTGCAACGGTAAATGTGTAATACAATATAACTACATAGTATATAAGAGGTGATATACCAAGCAAAGCTTGACCTAGTGGTGAGGATTGAGTCTTCCAACCTTGAAATTATTAGGGACACTTTGAGGGTGGAAAATTATCTTACCCTTCCTCCCTACTTTCAAAGTATTTAGCCCGCAAACTCGACGAGATTGACATGTAAAAGATTTCGGTCCGATAGGGCAGTTTATCTTACCTACCTTTAAAGGTATATCTACAAGATGGGAGATCATTACAATTGTATATCTTTAAAAAGAAAAAAGGGCGATGTACTAATTTTGGAAAATAAAGGTTTTTGGACCAATATTAGAGGTGATCATTGGGTGGAGAGCGTTCGGGCTGGGCCGAAGCAAAAAAATCAGGCAACTTCTCGGGCCGGGATTTTTGTGCCTAAACCCGTCCAAAATGGTCGGGTCGTGCGGGCTTTTCGGCCATTTTCGGGTCGGGCAAAAAAAAAAAAGGAAATTAAAAATGCATTCCCAAACCTGCCAAAAAAAATAAATTTTTGGGACCGAAAAATTCTGCCTAAAACCCGCCCAAAATCGGGCTGGGCCAGCGGGTTGGGCTAACTTTGATCACCTCTACCCAATATAAAAAAGTGGGCTATATCCTAATGAATAATGTTGTACGCAAGAACCCTGGCCCAATAGCTAAAATGGGTTACATAAAACCACATAGAATTGAAATCTAATCTAATCACCAACTAGGCTACTACAGAAACGCTTAACAAGATTGTTTCTCCTACTAATGGTCTAATGCATACTCATTGCTAATTGCTCTGTTTTATTCTAGTAATAGAAGTTGGTAAAGTGGATCAACCCAAGTTGAGGCCATGCCCTAAATGTTACTCCGTGCCTCATATCATACCTTGTCTCTCAAGCCTAAAATGCGACTCGAGCACGACGTATAGCCCAACATGCACACGTTTAAAGAATTTGCAATAACCGCTGCATACTTATTGATGTATGTGCTTGGAATGATGACATAACCTATATAAGCAAGCAACTTCAAGATAAAACCATGAATAGTGCATTTGCATTAGTGCACGTCAGCTTCATTTGATTCACCTAAACTTATTGCAATTTTTTATGATGATTGTAAATTCATAATGTTAGAAACTTGAATTCTGTAGCCTATATAAATTGTAATTTTATGGAAATTTACATATGAGATGATATTTATGAGTTCAAAGCAATAACAAGAACAAACTTGTACATTTTTAGGGCCAAAGAAGGTAAAAATGAGTGATGCAGAATCATACACACTGTAAATTAGATCGAAGCATGAGCATCTCTTAAGTTGGAGAATGTTAGTCTTTGCCTAACCACGTGTCAACTTCCCAATAGGGGACCTAATTTACCTATATTAATGGTTTTATAGCCATTCACAAATGTCAGCTTCAATCAATGCATGCTTTATTTTCTGTCAATTAATGTGTTCATCATATGATTGGATAATACTTGCAACTTGTTTTTTTCCCCATTTTGGTGATTGGTTACTATTCCTTCTCCGATCTATGGACTATGGAGTATAACTATATAAGTAAAAAAAACTACATAAGTCGTTTTAGTTAATATCTACAATATTACTCCGTAACATAATACCACAATCACGTTTACATATTAGTACATTGGTATGATCTAATCGGTCACCATGAGTTAAGATATCATTATATAATAATATACTTTGTACTTTGTAATACTTTGTACATCACTATATTGTATAAGTCGATATACAATATGGCTTATACTATCATTCTAGAGTCACAAAGATTGATAATCTTATCAATTAAATACTAATTTCAAGTAAGCCAATATTTGTTCTAACTTATGAATCAGTTCAAGAAGGCTGTTATTTGTTCTAACCTATGAAATAATTTGACGCCGTCTGTGGGGAACGTGATCATGGGGTGACCCCTCATTCATGACATTCAAGGAGTTGTCTCAACGTACCATCAAAAAATGATTTATGTTTCGGACGAGGGACACTCCGAAAAAATTCAGGGCAGCCAAAAGGAGGCCCGAAGATGCAACCACCTCAAACCATCCAAAAGTCGCCGCGATGACCGGGATGATGAGGAGGAAAAAGAAAAGGATTGTTGCACAAAAAGGCCTAAAGGCTTAAGTGCTTCGGCCCAATGAACCCCAACAAAAGAAAAATCTTTGGGGAAGGAAAAGGCTGATTCCTCATCTGAGCCGAAAAGACTCAGAACATCAGCCACAGTCTGGGAAGCCTACTGATATTGACAGTAGGCCTGATTGAGAAGAGTCCAGCGCCAAATCCATGGAACTGGACAATCAGACTGAGTCAATAGAGTTGACCGAAGGGAATTCTGAAAGATGTGTCAGCATTAGACTGGGACTTGATCCAAATGTTCGTGTTGAACTTATTCAACTCCTTCGGGACAACAAAGATGTGTTCGCTTTCTCGGCAGCAGACATGCCCGGGATTGATCTGAACCTCATCTCTCATAAGCTTAATGTCAAACCTACATGTCGGCCAATTAGGAAAAAGAAGCGGAATTACTCCGCTTAAAAGAACCAAGACATCGCAGCTGAAGTAAAAAAAACTTATGGATGTGGGTTTCATTGAACCTTGTCAGTATCTAGAATGGTTGGCCAATGTGGTGATGGTTTAGAAGGCAAATGGCACCTGGAGAATGTGCGTTGACATCACAGATCTAAATAGGGCATGTCCAAAGGACTTTTATCCCTTGCCAAGGATCGATCAGCTAGTCGACTCGACAAGTGGGCATGCCCTGCTTAGTTTTATGGACGCATTCTCTAGATATCATCAAATCTTCATGCACCTCGATGACAAAGCAAAAATGGCCTTTGTTACAAGCGTCGGGGTGTACAACTACAAAATGATGCCCTTCGGATTGAAAAATGCGGGGCAACTTATCAAAGGCTGGTTGATCAGGTATTCGCCGAGTAAAAGGGCCGAAACATGGAAGTCTATGTTGACGATTCTATCGTTAAAAGAAAAAAAGACACAGACCATGTCACGGACCTGGCCGAAACCTTTGCCACCCTTAGAAAAAATCAAATGAAGCCGAATCCGAAGAAGTGTGTCTTTGGCGTGAAGTCAGGCAAGTTCCTCGGCTTCATGGTCAGCAAAAGGGGGATCAATGCCAATCCCACCAAAGTTTAAGCAGCTCTGGATCTTCCCGAGCCGAAAATAAAGAGGGATGTTCAGCGTCTCACTGGCAGAATGGCTACCCTTTCCAAGTTCATCTCTAGGGCCTCGGACAAGGGGTTTGCCTTTCTTCAAAGTGCTAAAACTACCTAAATCAAAATATCTCATTTGGGAAGACGAGCAAAAAGAAGCCTTTAAACAACTCCGTGAGCACCTGGCTCAACTCCCAACATTGGCAAGACCAGCTGAAGGAGAAACTGTGTACTTATACGTGGCAGTTAGCCCAGCCAGGCAGCCACTATAAGTGTGGTGTTGCTAAGGGAAGAAGAAAAAATTCAGCAACCAATCTATTTCGTCAGTCACACTCTGACAGATGCAGAGACACGCTACCCCTACTTGAAAAAGTTGCATATGCAGTAGTGGTAGCCGCTCGGAAGTTGAGGCCCTACTTTGATTGCCATCAAATAGTGGTCTTAACTGATCAACTGCTGGAACAAGTCCTCGGCAAAGTAGAGAAATCTGGTAGACTAGCAAAGTGGGCTTTCGAGCTCATTGATTTCAGTATCAGCTATCAGCCAAGGGCAGCTATCAAGGCTCAGGCCTTAGCAGACTTCCTAGCTGAGTGTTCTTATCAAGAGACACTTGATGAGAAAAAGAAAATCTGGACCATTTTCATGGATGGATCCTCCACCGTGAATAGTTCGGGGGCAGGAGTCGTCATAACCTCTCCCGAAGGCAAATCCTTTGAATATACATTAAAATTCTCATTCAAGGCTTCAAACAACGAAGCTGAATATGAAGCAGCAATTGCTAGTCTAGAGCTGTGCATAGCATTGAACGTCGAGCATGTCTATTTAAAGACAGACTCTCAACTTGTCGCAAATCAGATCCGAGGTGAATATGAGGCTAAGGAGCCCTCAATGATTGCCTACCTCGCAAAGATCAAGACTATCATTGCGAAGCTAAGAACTTTTGAAGTCAAGCTGATCCGAAGGGGTCAGGACGTACAAGCCGACGCACTCTCCAAACTTGCAAGTTCAACTCAAACCGAGCTGAACCGATCTGTATATGTGGAAGTGCGCCGAGAAAAAAGTGTGGACTAAGAACCTGAGGTTTGTTGTGTCACACACAAACCGAGTTGGATGGACCCCATCCTAGCTTACAAACTTCAAGGAGAAATTCTCGAAGACAGAAACTTAGCCTCTAAGATGAAAAGAATCAGCTCAAGGTTCATCATCTTCAGAGGGGAGCTCTTGAAAAAGTCCTTCTTAGCCCCACTATTGAAATGCGTGGGTCCAACAGATGCTGATTACATCCTTCGGGAAATTCATCTCGGCATCTGCGGAAACCACATAGGGGGAAGAACCTTAGCCCATAAAGCGCTAAGAGCCGGATATTATTGGCCAACCATGATCTCAGA